GAGAGAGAGAGAGAGAGAGAGAGAGAGAGAGAGAGAGAGAGAGAGAGAGAGAGAGAGAGAGAGAGAACCCAGCTACGCGCCTCGCCCCCCCCTCCACGGTCAAGTGTAGTATCTGCTTCGATCAGTTTCATATCCGATCCTCTCTCCCCGCATGATCAAGCGTAGTGTCTCCTCCGTTCGGTTTCATATCTTATCCGTGGTCTATCGAGACCTTTTTTTATTTGAAAAAAAGAAAAAAAAAGCACGCGAGCACGCGTGTGCAAAAGAGAGAGAGAGAGAGAGAGAGAGAGAGAGAGAGAGAGAGAGAGAGAGAGAGAGAGAGAGAGAGAACCCAATCTAACTAGCTCTGCGCATCCCCCCTCCCCCCAACGATCAAGTGTAGTATCTGCTTCGATCAGTTTCATAGCCGATCTTCTCGCATGGTCAAGCGTAGTATCTGCTCCGTTCAGTTTCGTATCTTATCTGTGGTCTATCGAGACCTTTTTATTTTATAAAAGAAATAGAAAAGCACGGTCGTGAAAGAGAGAGAGAGAGAGAGAGAGAGAGAGAGAGAGAGAGAGAGAGAGAGAGAGAGAGAGAGAGAGAGAGAGAGGCATACCTGTTTCAGGTTACTGACGGCCATAGCTGCCCATGTGTGAATACATATGAATTGTTGTATAAGGTTCTCAAACAAATTTTGAAGTCTTTTCATCTCGAGTTGGCTTGCATGTCATGTTTGGAGTTCGGTGTGATGAAGTGTGGACTGGTTGTGGTGTGTGAAGCAGTGTGAGTTGGTGGCCTCTTTGCAAGTGGTATCAGAGCAAACTTTCGTTGTCTTGCCTGAGCGCTCAAAGTGGAGAAAGCTTGCTTAGCGTGATCAAGACCAGCGGGTGAAGTGAGTGACGAACTGAGGAATCGAGTAGCGGCGGATGGAGGAGAGGTAGGGTTTGACTGATGCAGAAGAGGTCAGACTGGAGGAAACGAGCGAACTTGGAGCAACTGAGGAGCTTTGTCATCGAGCTTGAGTGAAGTGCCTTTATTACCATACGGACATAGTCTTGCATACGTCACTTCTTGCATGGAATGACTATAGTCAACTATGGTTCACGTTGGTCTTTCCAGGGTCAACTATGGTCAACGTTGGTTTTTAGGTCATCAATGAGGATGAAACAACACAAGGTGATCTTTCCATGGTAAACTGAGCTGCGTCATTTCACGCATCGGAAGATGATGGTCAACTTTGGTCAATGCTGGTCTTTCCACGGTATTGGTCAACGCTGGTCTTTCCACGGTATTGGTCAACGCTGGTCTTTCCACGCTATTGGTCAACGATGGTCTTTCCACGGTAAACTGAGCTGCTGATCGTCATTGGTGTTTGGTGTTTTTAAGGTCTAACTTCTAAGTAGAATCAGATGACTGTGCATGCTTGTAGAGATAAGTAGGTCAACGTTGCTGAGCGGTCTAACATTGAGGTAATCACATGGGAGTTCCCCGAAGGGGACTGGTGCTGACCAGCGTGCAAGGTCGCTGACCTGCCCTCAGTTGACCCCCTGGTGCAATTTGAAGCTGCAATAGCTACACTGGCCAGAGCATTTGTGAAACAACCCTTCTATTATGCTGTGATTAGCAGGAGTAATTACTATGCCATACATGCAAGCGCACCTCGTGCGGGCAGTTCCCGACGTGCGGCGCACGCGCCCAACCGATCCCGTGCGGCGCACGACATGTGCGGGGAGCGACCCGTCACCCCCCTCCGAAAAAAAAAAGAAGGCCGGGGGTCGAAACGGTGAGTTCGAGACCCCCCGCCAAAATTATAAGCGGGATGAATTTTTTTTTTTTGCAGGGGTGCTGCCTCATCTTGCTCCTCCTTCCCTTCCTCCTCCTCCATGTCTCCTCCTCCCTTCTCCTTTTCGTTTCCCCTTTTTGTCCTCCTCCTGCCCTCCATGTCTCCTCCTGTTCGTCCTCCTCCTGCCCTTCCTCATCCTTCTTGTCTCCTCCTCCTCCTCGTACTTCGCCATCTTCCATGCCTCCTCGATTCCTTACCTTCCTCATGTCCTCCCTTTCCTCTCCGTTCATGTCTCCTCCTCCTCCCACTCGTCCTCCTCCTGCCCTTCCTCTTTCCCTCCGTCCATCTCTTCTCCTCCCCCATCTCTGCTCCTCCTCGTCGTCGTCCTCGCTATTCTCGTCGTCCTCCTCGGCCACATCCACCTCCTCCTCTCCATGTCCCCCTCTACTCGCCATATCCCCAGCTTCCTGTCATACACCCCCCCCCCATCCCCCTCCCAAAAAAAATAAAAATAACAATAATAATAAAAGACCTGCGCGATTCTGCACAGGCACCCCCGCACGGAACTCTGCACGAATGTGCGGCTTATGCGGTTGCAAGTATGCTATTAAGTAGTATTAACTGATAGAAATTTTAATACCACTATTTTTTATCCTGCACGAGGAGGAGATCCTGTTTTATTTCAACATCTGTTTTTGTTCTTTGGTCCGGATGGCCACCTAAGAAAAGCATTGCCGTTTGCTGGAACAACTACACACGTGTTTGTACTTTTTTTTAAAGTGCTCCGAATACCAGCACATGGTAACTAGTGTGGTGCTTCGTCCTATACAGTAGGCATTGCTCCACTGCACAACACTGCGAATGAATCTCGACAAGGAAATGGTTCAGATGCGTTCAGGACGGTGGGTCAGCTCGAATGTGTGTTGGTGATTTTGCAGTCCAGATATACACCTGAATGTTGTGCGGTGGCTTCATCCTAGACAATAAGTACAGTCATTCATAGGAGATTGACAAGCCTTGTTGTTTGTTTGGGACGCGGGGGGGAGTGGGGAGGGGGGACATCAACAAGGAGGATGTTTTGGTGGGTACGGCAGCGGCTCTGGATCGTGAGTGANATGTCACTATAGTGCAGCCCCCTAGCCAGGGGGGTCTTCAAGATCCACATCAAGCTGCCACGTGGCACTGCCGAGAGGCAGCACATGCCAGCCACGTGCGCAGGCGGCAGCACCCACGACGGCCCCGAGAGAGGGGGGGGGGAAGTAGTTGTCTTCCCGAACGTTGCTCGCCGCTCGCCAACGGGGGCTGCCGTGCCGCCTCTTCAACACCAGTGAGCCACAATATCAACTCATATTGTGGTTTTGGCCACTGTGTTAAGGCACTGACCTCACATGCGCATGAGTGCCAGCTGCTCAGGTTCAAACCCTGGCAGCTGCAGCATCCCAGTTCTTGATAATAAATAATCTGGGAGCATGCCGAGGCGGGGCAGGGGGGCAGCGTGGGCACGTGGCGTGTGCGCCTGTGTGGCGGCCTTAGCCTTGGCACGTGACGAGCACGCGTTGTGACGACAACTCCTCTTTTTGCCACGTGTCTGGTTCTGCACACTGCTGTTTTTCGCCGTTGTCGCCCTGGAAAACCCTGAAAATCCCGCTATCGAGATTACAACGATTTTCCTCTGGTACGGGAGGGAGGGCGGGTTGGTGCGGGGACCGTTCCCGCTCCGATACCAGTGTGCCGGACCCGCCGGGATAGCAGTCCGTCAGGATGAAGAAGAAGGTTGAGGAAGAAGGATATGGAAATGGAGCTGGAAGGGATAGCGCAGCTCCGACGCAGACTCAACCGGCACGTACTCCAACAAGTCAAAAGTGAAGAATGATCTAAAAAACAGACAACATTTGGGGTATACCCCCAGGGGACTGACTGGACTGGACTGGACTGGCCTGGTACAGGCAGTGGTGCCGGGCAGGACTGGATTGGACTGGAACAGCACACGGCCTGTGGGGTCAAGCCACGGCCTGGGCCCACAGGCCGAGCTTGCAAATAACCGAATAGGCCCTGGCTGTAGGCCAGTCATTCATAGGAGATTGACAAGCCTTGTTGTTTGTTTGGGACGCGGGGGGGAGTGGGGGGGGAGTACATCAACAAGGAGGATGTTTTGGTGGGTACGGCAGCGGCTCTGGATCGTGAGTGAAAAGTACGACCGCCTTGAAGGGGATTGTCACTGCAATGCTACTTGATGCAACAGCAAGCACTACAGAATGGACAAAGTGTAATTTCTGAGTTTCCGGCAAGGACTTTAAAACAAAAAAAAAAACAAAAAGAAGAAGAAGAAGAAGAAGAAGAAGAAGAAGAAGAAGCTTCTGGCAAGGATTGTGGTGCATGGCAGAATTTTTTTCCATCTCCCTGCAGGGGGGCATCAATCAACATGTAGAGATGTTTTCCTCCCTCCAATATGCAAACAACTGAGCCTCACGATGGGGTAGGTAAGTTCACCGGGCAAAGGGGCAATGACAGCACGCTACTCTATGGACCTGTTCGTGCAGGACGGTGCACGGGTGATTGGATGACCCGGCCAGCTGAGTCAAACTGGCACCCAGCACAACCATGTGCATCTGCCAATCCAGCAACTCCTCTAGTCTGATGATCGCACCTCAACAATGCCACCCTTTAAAAAACAAAAAGAATGACCAAAGAAGCACAACAAGAGGCCTAATGAAGCATAGATTCAGGAGAAGAGTCACCTTACCATCCAAACCTCAAAGTATCAGGACTTCGTGGACTCGCCACTTCAACAACGAAAGGAAGATGCGCTATAACCAGAGAGGTGACGAAGGGGATCCCTTTGATTCCTCACTGAGAGACCTGCTTCACTACTGCGACTGGCGTGCTTGAAACTTGGTCAGTCATAGGATGGATGGATGGATGGATGGATGTCATGCCCCTGGGATCCGCATAACTGACACTGGAACATATCAGGATGAACACAAAAGCAAGCATACACAAGTGGTAAGTCACTTTAAGCCCGGGTGGGGACGCATTTCCAACAGCACAATGCAGTTGAATGCACACACAAGTCCTATCCATACCAAAGGTTAATAACAGATCCACTTCTCTATTATGGGTCTGCTTTGACCGTAAACCATAAAACAATGTCAGTTATGTCATGAATCCCTACATTCCCTACCTTCCGCAAGAGAAGTCCTAACGACTCTAACCCCTACAAGGGTACCTGTTGCGACTTCGCACTCAAATAAAAAAATATTTAAGAAAAAGATGAATGGGAGAGAGGTGGGCGGGGGGGGGCAGGGGGGGGGTAGTTCTTGTTTTGAGGCTCTGTTTGCTGTCCGAGAATGTTTATGATCAACCAATGTTGTATGCATGCCGTGTGGTTGCCTTCGGAATCGACGGTGCAGTCCGCATTTCGGGGAAGTGGACGGTGCAACGGAGGAGGGTTGGGGGCGAGTAGGGAATGTGGGGGATGCAGATGGAAGAAACCCCCTGAGGATGATCGCCGGGAGGTGATCGAAACCCGTCGAGGATTCACTTATGCGGGATATAATTTTTCTATTGCCTGCTTTTGTCAATGCATGTGTGTGCATGTTTGACGCATTTGTATCAAGTGTGTATTTCACTACCTACTCGCAAACCTGCCTTCGAACTCTCTCTCTCTCTCTCTCTCTCTCTCTCTCTCTCTCTCTCTCTC